TCTACGATTGTAGATCATCTTGTTTAAAGTGGAAAATAATATAAAAAAATTAGTAGATTTTATTTTCGACATTTTAAGGAATTTGATAACGTTTTCAAAGGTAATAAATAAAATGATGTAGAATTATATCAATGTTTTGAAGATATAATTTACTTTGTTTCTACTTCAGTTAATAAGAGTTCTGTATTTTCATTGCAACATTTACGTTAATGTGAATTATATAGTTCTAACGTTGTGAGATCATTTTATAGAATATTAATGGAATGACTGCGTTTATACTGTCATGGATGAAATCAAAAATAAAAGAAAACACGAGTTGAAATTATACGTTATTATAGTAACATAATGCTCCTAATGTCACATTTTATCTTCGATCGAAACATGTGTAAATTACTTGTTTAGTGATGCAATCAACAGCATCGGGAATATCGATTGTTAGAAGTCGATGTGACTCAGCGAAAACGATCCTCGAATAATATGTTAATTCGATAAAGAATGTACAAGTCATATATCGTTTGTATCTCAATTTAATGACGACCTACATTTAACGAATCCTTCATCAATTGAATGTCAAAAATTGATTTTTCATGTTCATTGAGCAAAACTTCAAAACTTTTTTGTTTATTCGTACTTCTTAGGAATTTCAATTAATATAACTATATCTTAAATATTTAATACCAGATGAAGTATGAAACTAATTCATTCAAGGAAAAAAAAATAATATATAGAAGTTGAATTATTGAAAAATGATGAATTGTGTACTTATCAAGATAGACAAATTTTTATTGCTATAAGTGTTTCAAATAAGTGTTTCTTCAAACATCGCGATATAGTAATATAATATAAATCAATGGAAGGAAAATAAAAACAAAACGTACAAACAACGCATTAATTCTTAATTATCAAAGGATGAAGAAAATCTGTTTCTTGAAATTTAAACTCGTCGATTCATCCATCCTAATATATCAATCTTTTTAAATATCATAAAATTCAAGAATCTATCCCTTTTGCAACCACAATGTTAAAAATCAAAATTTGACGATTGAACACCGTTAAGGTTAAGGCGTCAGTTTCAATGCTCGACAATTGCAAAGAAAGAAAGATATCGGGAGTAGCGTAGCTACTGTAAGAAAGAAATCCCGCGAAACTTTTATTATTCTATTTACAGATCGCGGAGATCTCGCGGCAACGAAAGATCGAGAATAGGAGAAGTATCCGTTGATATCGAGAATCGAGTGCAAAGGCTACGTTCGATCGCGAGAAAAATGAAGACCGTAGATCAGAGAAAGGGACATCGATAATAATTCTTTTGGTCGAGCGATAAGAAGGTGTCGTGAAGAATATAGCGGTGGTAAACAAACGGTATAAATAGTCATGGGAGTATTTTTAATTAACTCTTGACGTACGCTTGACCTTTCGTTTTGCTCGCTCGATCGTCGGGGCAGATCACTTTCTCGATGACGCGCGATTCGTTTAGACGTGCCACTGTGACGGACAGGCAACACCCGACGTAGACACACTCTCCTGTTACGTGGAATCACGAGCTTCTTCGTAGCCTAAAATTACATATACTCTTGAAAAATAGAACAGCCCGCCGGATTTTTCATTCCTCGGATGCCGGCTGCGTCGTGTCGCCGTCCTCGCGGCCCTCGCTGCTTGCTTTTTGCTCCTGTTCCTTCTGCGCCCTTGCCTCCGCGTCTATTCATGAACAAAAGTCACGAAATAAAATAACATAGCTGTGCGTTGTAGTAACGTGAAATCGAATGAAATCGATCGGTCACTCCGATATACCATAAATGGCGTTGATTAATGATGAAAAATGAAATAAAATTAATTACATGTCTTGTATAATTCTAACGATAAAATATATTATATTCTATACTGTAGATTTAAACAAAGGATCGCTACGAAATTTCGACGACGTGAGAGACGAACATCGCGAACAGTCTCTCCCTCTCTCTCCTTTTTTCCTTTTTTTTGTTTTAAAGAAATGACAAAGAGAAACAATCGAATTCGAAGTACCTCGAACGGCCTGCTCCTTCCAAATTCTCTTGTTCTCCGCGAGGCAGGGGATCCAAGGCTTACCGATCTTGAATCTTCTGCTCTCGCCGCCGGATCCTACGGATTATTCGTCGTTTGAATACGACCGGCACGCAGAGCGGCGGGCAAATGAGACGCGTCAAAGCGTGACGACACAGATATGCTCACCGTTGTTCGACTCATCCACATTCTCCTTTGCATTCAACGGGGCGAGAACTGTCTCCAGCATGTCGCTGCACACCTGCATGCTCGGCTCGACGATAAACTCGATGAATCCTATTTGCGATTCAGCCACCAGGGTATTGTTACGGTCGCAGAGCGGAGAAAACGGCAATCCCAGAGCCTTCTCCTTATCCCCCTGCCGGAAGAACTCCTCCAGCAGTTGCATTGTCCATCTAAGTGGAAAGGAACAACGTCACCACCGCTTTTTATTCACCGCGGCATTAAACTTTTATTCGACTACTCGCTGCTACTATACTGCCGCTCTCGTAAAACGCGAGCACCGAATTGCGCGACAGCGAGGATATTTTCGGAGATGAAACTGCGAACAGCGACGACCGAGGTTGAGCGACGTTTGGAATAGTTATTCCTTTAATAACGCTATTTTATTTTATAGCAGGGAAATTCAAGCGAGAGATATGTACGAGAGAAATACGAGATGTTTCTTGACATCACGGTAGAAGATTCTATTCTATTTGATTGGTGAACATAAAATTTCATCTTTTCGAAGCTTGGATTTGTTTGCTCTTAATTGTTATTCATTAGAGAAGAAGACATTTACTATAAATGTATCAATATGTATGTTTATAATGTTCAGAGGATTTGTAATAAAAATATCAATTAATTTCCTTGATTTTTCTATATATAATATTTTTATACAAGTTTGTGTAATATTTAAAAGCGTTTTGAATCGAAGATTGCTGAAAACACATGCATATTTAACATCTTCTATTCTATTTAAACAGTTTTTAATGAATAAATTAATTGACAGTGTTTACAAACGCTGTTCTATTCCAAGAATTTCGGAACGTTCAAATTGATAATTCCAAATAATTCAAATTGATAGTTATAAATTTGTTAGTGGGAAAAGTATCATCTCGTTTTTAAATTGGACACATTTAACATTGTCAGTATTTCACGTGTAATCATTATTTGCTTTATAACTTCCGACGTAAATTAATATAATATCGAAATTTAAAAAAATCGTTCAGTTCCTTACAGAAAATGGGGGGGGGGGAGAGAGAAAAGAACTTCTACCTGTGATGAAGGTCCCATCTTTTGGCCGGATGTGAAATGTCGCAACAATGAAGAACTAGACTGACAGCCTTGTTTTTGTCTACGCTAGGCTCTGCCAGGCTCAGAATATTTTTCATGTTCTTCAGCTGCTGGAAATGAAAGCTCATGTCGGTCGCAAGCACCATGTCGATCACCAACGAACGAAATTCTCGGAATTCCTCTCTCGATAGATTTTGTAATATGTTGCACTCGTCTTCTCTCAATATCCTGGAAAAGATCTCGGTCTTTTAGTTCATTCTCAATAGTCTGTCTATTAAGATTGCGGTTTAATTTTAATTCATTCTTGTTACAAAATTTCGAATATTACAGCGAAACGAGTAATTAAATATAATTAAATATAAATGTTTTTGATCCCTCTCAGAATTATAGTCCAATTTTTGTTCTAAATTCGTTGGTCCTTACGTTAAAATAAATGTTTCTGAGTTCTAACGACCAGATTTATTTTGTAAAAGAAAATTCGTAACTACAAAATTGTTGTTTCTGTGAAAAAACAAAACAAAACAATACAAAGCTATTTATCGGAACGAAATTTTAATTAATGTCCAATCAAATCCAATTATAACTTGGAGAATCGATTCTGTGGAGGAACTTTCGTCGTATGAATTGCAGTTATATAAACTGTTTGTCCACTGACAAGTTTTGATAAATGGAATTCTATTTTGATGAGAAGTGAGAGCAAAGCACTAAAAATGCTAGCCAGAGCTAGAAAATATTTATAAAAATTTGGTTACTTTGTAAATATACACATTATTAAAATTTCTGTAACGCGATATATTATGCAATAGATGATTGTTTTGATCTCTAAAAAATATCGTTGATTGAATATTTCATAGTTTGTATCTATTTGAAACAATCATGATAATTGAGTCTCAATGCGATGTTAATGAAATTTCAAAATATATTACAGAATACACACGATATGAAGATAAATATCCGAATAATATTGTCACTATATTCCTACAATATTTCGTTATATTTTATTGTATCACTATATTATACTAATATAGCAAACAATTATTCTGCTTCTACTCAAACGATCCCGCGCTTAATATCATTAAATTACAACATGGTAAAACAACGAAACACCCATTAATATCGACAAATTTCGCGCATTACGAGACATCATACTTCACGCAAATCAATCGGGACGAATTATCCGATGAAATTTAAACCGCAAAAGGGTTAACGTTTGCCCATTTCGTGTCGCCCGGTTCGTCAATTATCCAGCGATTTCGCCATACAGCAAGATCTACGAGCGACAAAATCGGGACATCGTTCGTCCGATATAGCTAACCGCAAATTGAAACAGAAAATAACGCCTGACGATCACGCAGGGATGGATTCGAAAGGGCGAGTGTTTCCCGTACGTACGTACCGGAAACTCGCGGAGATGTGGTGATTTTCCAGGACGGCCCGATCGTTGTACAGCAGAGCTGTATCGCTGCCGGACATTACGTGGAAATTGTTTGTGGTCCCAGTGTGCTCGTAGTCGTGGATAATCGCCGCGACCAGCGTGGCGAATATCTCCAGATCGGTCAGCCAATTCTGCAAACAGGCGTAACGTCGTTTACACCGTTGTAATTCCTCGCCTCTAATGGACAATTTCTCTGGCAGATGCCTCGAATGGCTCGTATATTCGCCGCCGAAGGAAATCGAGCAAACTGAAACTTCTTAACTTCTTAACTTCTTCGCAGTTAATCTCTAGCGGAAGGTCGGCGTGCTAGATTTCGTTCGCTCGTTTTTGATGCGGATTCTCGAGGCACGCACAAGTGTCGAGCCACTTTTAAACTGAGAACTGTTGTTCGATGTGGTGGTTGTCTGATTTGGGGATTTGATGGCGTTGGGAAGGCAGAGGGTGGAATAGTTCGAGCTTCGAGTTTTCAGTCTTCTATTTGTTACTTGTGATAAATAATTTGGACGACGGAAGATCGAAGAAAGGAAGCTTTTAACTACACCAATTCTACTTCCTTGCTGATTAATTTATCGTGTTATTATTATTGTTGTTGTTGTTGTTTTTTACAACTTGTGCGCTGAAAGTTTGGAAAAATCGAGATTCTTATTATAATCGTGATCTTTTGTACTTGCGAGCTTCAGAAATTTTCACACTTCAATTTTACATCGTATTTGAAGATATAGAAAGATTCAATGATTTATGAAAAATTCGAAACCAACACACATTGAAATATTCACAAATGTTCACAAAGGTTCGTAGAGATAATAAAATGGTAAAAATTTGTAAAAAATTATTTTAAAAAATAAACAGACGAATGACGTTAAATTACTGTTGACTGTTGCTATGTTTGATCGACTGACTTACCATAAGCCCTGTTTGACACAAAATATAGTGCATAGTCTGTGCGACGTCAGCTGCGTGAAGATTGTTATGGTATGGATTTCGATGCCTGCAATAACCCTCCTCCACTCTCCCTAAGAAGCACTCCAGCACCGTTGCTGGCACTTTGAACTTGTGAATCATACCGTATCGATTCAATAAATCATAGCCGAGATACTTCACCGGAGCTCCCATTGCGGCTTCGCTGAGTGAAAACACGTCGAAGGACCAATCGTCTAAAGTCTTCAACAAATAAATACGATCAGTTGCTACGAATCAATGAAAAGTAACAAGATGGAAGTACCAATTATACAAACAAATAAATACAACCAAACACATACATTCTTTTTGCCTGTCACTAAAAGCCGCTAAAAATCATCATTGCATAGTTGATAATTCTGAGACTTTCTCACGACGCTCAATGGTGTCACAAGTTTTATATACTAAGTCGGAGCTTTTTTTATTTAAATTCACTCTAGAGCTAAGAAAAGCTACGAACATGAAAGATCGCGCGTACATAACTCCGACATCATCGGTCAGGAAGATATCACGTTGCGCAAATATTATCCATCATCAATCATGCTAGACGCCGGGCGTCTTCTGGCTCGACAAGCGTCGGATAAAACTCGTATCGAATGCAACGCGAATATATACCTTGAGCACTTTAACCACTTCCTGCGGGAATTGCATGAGCGCGGTGTTGGTGACCCGCCTGTAAATCCGATCGACAAAGATCCCCGCCCTGATTGCGTGCGCGACCGAGCGGAATTTTGGCTTTTCGTCTGCCTTTCGCCTGGTGGTCGCCAGCTGTCTCGTGAACGTCGAAGCCAGCCATTCGCGCACTTCCGGCGGCACCGCGTCCGGCTGTACCTCCGACAGTTCGTCATCCTCGTCCGCCAACCGCCTAAGGAAATAATTGTCTATGGTTAAGCGACACGCGGCGAGACCAGGCGACGATCGCGGAAACAAACTTGGAATCACACGGTGTGGGCAACTCCTACCTTCGCTACGATTCCTTTTTTCTTTTTTTTCTTTTTTTTTTTTTTTTTTTTTAGAAGAGAACAGAGAGTAGGCTTATGCTCGAGTTCCGTTCAACAGCGAAGCTTCTGTTATTATTCTGTTATTTCCATTTGTCTTTCTATTTTGTTCTATTCCAATGTATTTTTAGGGAGAATTCAAAATTGTTTTTATCGTTTAGCTTTTCTCTTTTCTTTCTTCCCATTTTTTTTTTTTTT